CATCGCACCTAAGGTCAAATGACTCCAAGACTCCATCCTTTTGGAGTTGGGCTACACACTTCTTGTTGACATGTCTAAGGCGACAATGCCACAAGCATGCTTTGTCCAAACCATTGGACGAACCAATTTGCAACACATTATTTCCTAAGTTATCTATAATCACCGTAGTTTCATATATATATATATATATATATATATATATATATATATATATATATATATATATATATATATATATATAAAGTATGATTAAAGAAAGCACCAATTTTATTATTAAATGAAAATCTAAAACCTTGTTTATACAAACCATGAAAGGAAATAATGTTTCTCGCCATATCAGATGAATAGCAACAGTTATTCAAGTCTAAACCTAACCCACTACTAAGCACTAAAGAATAAACTCCAATCTTGGTGACACGAGACGCTTTCCTATTCCCCATGATCAGGTTCATCTTCCCATGCTCGACATCCCTATTTCCTCTTAGACCCTGCAAATTAGAACAAATGTGAAAACCACATCGTGTATCAAGGACCCAAGAACTAGCATGTGATGAGTTGTTAGATTGATTAGTATAAATACCTGCGAAAGTGGTCTTTATCTTCCCATCCTTGATGTCCTGCAGATACTTTGGTTAGCTTCATTTCCAATGCCCTTTCTCACAGCAGTAGAAGCACTCTGCTTCTTTTGGGTTGTCAGAGGGGGCAGTACAACCAACTTTGGTCCCACTAGAAGAGGATCCATCACGGAACTTTCCCTTGTGGCTCTTAGAATGAGCCTTCCTCTTCTTCCTTTTTGCTTGCCCAATAGCCAAGATAGGGGCAACAGTAGTAGGAGTAGATGCAAAAGATTTTCCTTTTAGACTACTCTTAGCAGTCCTTAGCAGGCCTTGAAGCTTGCTCAGTGACCTCCTCCTTTTTCATATGATAGGTCATACGAAGCTGGTCATAACAAGGAGGTAGCGAGTGTAGAATGATATCTATGGCCAGATCCTCATCTAAGTTGACATTCAACTTCAACAAGCGGTCCACAAACCTTTGCATTTTCTGGGAGTGGGCCGTGATGGACTTTCCATCCTTCATTTTGGTAGTGATCATCGAGGCGATGATATCGTACCTCTCCTGCCTAGCACTTTTATGGTACCTTTCCATTAAATCTTGGTGCACCTCATATGGGTAGTAGTCCTTGTTCGACTTTTGGAGTTTAGTAGTCATTGTAGCAACCATGATGCAATGGACCTATGTTGCGTCCCTTTCATGAGCCTCATAGGCAGTAATTTGCTCGGGAGTAGTAGTAGTTTGGTCAATCTCTTTCATCTACTTATCGAGAACATACTCTTTCTCCTCGTAACATGTGACCATGCGCATGTTGCGGATCCAATCATTAAAATTGGATCCATCAAAGATCACCTTCCCATACAAGTTCACGAGTGAGAATGAGCCAAAAGGGGTTGAGACATAAGCATTGTTGTTTGGAGTAGACATCTGAAAAAGAAAATGAACAAATTTTAGATTAGATAAGAATCCCCCAATTAAACACCCAAATGAGAAATTAGGGCTAGGACCCAGCACAATTATTTACAATTCAAAAGAGGGATGCCGTAATCTAATTTCAAATAATTTGAAGGTAGGTAAATGTCGATTTACCAATTTTCATCATGAAAAACAAAAAGGATTTTAAGTTTTAAATGAATTGAAATTCCTTGATTCTTTTGAGATTCATTGAACTTTTCAATGGCATGTTTAAATCTCGATTATGCCCCTCAAGTTTGTGACTGGGATATTAAGGATCACAAACAAGGTCTGAATAACCATGTAAATGTGCTTGGTACTCTCGGTGTCATTTATCACCTAATCAATGTGCCGGTTTCCACACATGCTCCATCAATCTATGATAAACATCAAGCCACCCTTTGCCACCTTTGCTAGTCCCAAATTAGTGTGTCGGTTAACCACAAACGCTCCACTAATAACTTGGCAAAGTGGAAAGTGCAATTTCATGGCATAGCATACATTTGAACATTTTTACTAATGTAACTAAGATTGGGAGTTTATAAAAATATTTAGTTACTTTATATAATCGTTATACTTATTAATGAGGAACTAGTTATCCTATCTTACCCGTTCAGCTAAACACCCTCCACTAGTCAAGAGTGCGGTGGGTAAGAGTGGATACCCAATGTCGGTCATTTTACAAGCGGCTTCCTTAAACACCGCTTATAGACCAACTTCGTGAATGCGGTCTACTAACGGTAAGACTGACTTGTCTTATACATATATATATATATATATATATATATATATATATATATATATATATATATATATATATATATAATTATTAATATTTTAATATTATAATAGTATAAGGGTTGAATTTTAAAGTTTTAAGACTCTAGGGTTTAGAATTTAAATATTTCAAAATTAAAACTTTTTAATTAAAAATTAAATTCCAAAACTTGAGGGCAAGTTTTGAAACTTTTCAAAATCTTCTAGATCAAATTAAAATAATTTAGTTAATCAAATAATCTGTCATTATCTAAATTTAACCTAATTCATTTTATGGCAAGATAATTCACATAAAAAAATATAAATAATTATCTTTATCGTATAAACTAATAATTATCTTATGGATTGAAAATTATCTTCTAATTGGATTAACATATGCATTACCATAATAGATAAAAATGAATTTTAATTAGAAAAACAATTTATGGTAATCCTCCAAATCCAATCTTAGCCAAAATCCTGAAAATATGTATTCTAACTTGCTACCACGTCGTGGCAAGATATGCCAAGTCGTTGTCATCAGGCAGATGCAAAATCGATTTTTTTTTTTGCTTTGAATAGTTAGGCATAGCATCAAATACAACAGAAAAATAGCCTTGGCTATGATATCACTAATGGGTTTTGAGCATAACAATAATCCTATTGTGCACATGCAAAACCCTAAACCTTTGGATCTAGGTTTTCTAATTATATATGCAATAATCATCCAAAGCTTATAAAACCTAATCTAGCATGCTTATTTCAAAATTGACATAATAAACAATTTAGAATGATAGCTTGAAGATCTTCAACCTTTGAGAGCTTTAGTATCACCAGTGTAATACGTCTAATCGATCACAAACACCATGAAGCAAGTTGGAGCACATGAGAGAGAGAGGCTAGGGATACTAATTTTCAGCTGGAATTCTTCTTAGGGTTTTGTAGTGGCCAAAAATATAATGCCCCAAGGGTTGCTTATATAGTTGAGGTATTAGGGTTTCAGTCAAATAATTTATTTGGTTGCTTAACCCCTAAGCAGCCCATAGGATCCTTCCAGAACCTTATCCTTGGATGAAATCCTGATGGGCTATCCATAGTATTTCGTGTATCTCTTATCTTAAAGATCCTCAACCTATTTTTCAACTATCTTATAATTACAATATCAGTCCCCTTTATTTAATTAATCTCTTTTGACCACAAAATTAATTTTAAATTAATTCTTGTCCAATATCAATTAAATAATATGATTTCTCTTTTAATATATTATTCACATAATACATTAATAAATCATAATTAACCTTTTTCTCGATAATTCATCCGGTAAAGTCGCTTTGGTGAAGGCAACCCAAAAGGACCATGCTAATATCAGGTGAAGTACATACAAATTATAGTTATGGGCTCAGACACCTAATCCAGCATAAATTACATGCCATGAGGGTTAAATAAGCTTAGAATGAAGGACTTGGTCCTGCTGTGCAACTCTTGTCTGAGTCCAACTGTTGTAGGGTTGAGTGCTTTAGTTAAAGGATTATTTAAGCTTTGTTGCATGTAATTCTATTCATGAAGTGGTTAGTTGGAATTGGTATGGGTTCTTCAGTAGCTGATAGCATTGGAGGTGTGGGTGGAATCCTAAGAGAGCCTAGGAAGTGTTTTAGTGCGATTGTTTTGTTGTTGAGCAGGTATCGGGAGTGTTATTATGAGTAGGTCCTAGAGGACTCGAGATGACTCTTGAGGAAAGTATAGATAGGTGTGGAAGGTAGTATTGGGTCCGTACTATTAGAAGCAAAGGATTGTTGTGGCATGTTCGCAGATGGTTTGGATGCTGAAGGATGGATCTGACTTGGGTGCTTGCCTGAGAACACAATCACAAAAGAATCGTTAAAGGAGGACCGGGTGTTCTCCTAGGACATCGGTTCGACGATCAAGTTAGTTTTTGGAGAGAGAGAGAGAGAGAGAGAGAGAGAGAGAAATTTTGGGTTGTCTTTATAAGAGAGAAGATGGATCCCTTCCTTGAAATGAAAGAGATCCTTTTATACCTATTACTAATGAATCATGGGGACCGTGCCTCGTGAGCGTGAAACGTGGCCTTCTCTTACTGGGAGAGTTATTCACGCTAACTAACTGCCAGGTGACGTTTTTTTTGGGCATCACCCGGGCTATTCATTGCTTTCTCATTGGTTGTGAGTGAATAAGGAGATCACATGGAATGTTCTTCCCTTGTGATGAGAAATGAGTTGCTGCTCCGACTTTGGCTCTCTTAGGCCAAGACCGGGTCTTAGCCAAGGTAGTAACATCTCTTTTACATTTTCTGTCACATTTAACGTGGCTATTAGGTAATTTTAACAAGTCCTTTAGACCAGTAGTCCTCTGTTTTCATGACGTAGAAGAGTTGTTATGGTCTACTCACAGTTACGTGGCGAGCTGTAATTGATAGCCTATGCTGATGGCAGAGCGAAATCGTTGTTTTTCGGCGGTTTCATCATGAAGACAATTCGCTCCCTCTTTCTTTGTATTTAAGCCTCTTCCTTCTCTAGCACATCCTCCTCACCTATTACCTTGCTTTCTTTACGCTTCTTTTCTAAAGAAAACTTTTCGTTTTTTCCTCCAAACTCTTCCATGGCTACTTTTCACTCTTTGGGAAGAAATCTCACTGCTGAAGAGTGGGAATCTTTTCAATTCCGATTCGGGTTTGTTCCTGAACACGGGGTGCAAATCCCCTTGCTTGATGCCTCTTTCTAGAGTCCTCCTGAGGGCAAAGTTGGGATCCCAATCGCCTTGTTTGAGTCACGTATGTGTTTTCCTACCATCGATTTCTTCAACTTGATCATCCGGAAATACTGGTTTTCAGTAAGAGAGTTGACCCCTATCGCTATAAACAAGATGGTCAACTTTGAACTCCTTTGTTGTGCCCTAGGCCGCTTACCGACCGTTCCTACTTTCAAGCACTTCTTTAACGCCTCCACTTCGTCGGGGACTTGAACCCTTTCTTGCCGATGAGGAGTCCCTATTCTTATCCACGATAAGAAGTCTAAGAAGAACTGGCACGAGAAGTTCTTATGGGTGAATAACGATCTCGTGGTACTTAGTTACCCAAGGACTAAGGTGTATGTTGACCATGCCCCTGTATTGTTTTACGTTGACAAGGAACTGGATGATTCCCTAGAGAAGATCAACATCAACGGTGAAGATTGTCTTGATTGTTTTTAGCCGCCGTTGGGATGAGTGTTGCTTGGAGGGCTTGTGGGAAGATGCTTGAATTCTTTGTTGAGAAAGAGGGTATCTCTTTTGCTTCTCCTCTGCCCCCTTTTTTATATGAGAAGATTGGCAACTCATGTTTAAAGCAATGCTTTGGCTTAACCAACATTGTTTCTTGTTTTTACCAGGTGTGGAGGAGACTATTTCTTTGGAGAAAGCTCTTTGGTGTCTATTTGATGGAGAGCTTCAGGTTCACAATGTTGACCTGGTGGAGGCTCTTCCACCTACTTTTTGGGACTCACAAAGACTGTCGGTTCAGACAATGTTACTGGCATTGGTGAGGATTTGGACCTACAGGACATTGTCATCACTGGTGCTTCTTAGAAGGATCCTACACCATTCAGGTCCCCAAGGAGTCTTCGTTGGGTTAAGAGGCATTTTGCATTCTTGGAATCCTCTTCCAGCGGTTGAACTGAGGCAGCAAGCACCTCCCCCTCTTCGTAAGAAGCGTAATTCGAGTCTCTTACTTGGAGGTTCTAAAGATTCCTACCGTGCCCCGATAAAGGTCCTCCGAAACTACTGGAGGGGGCACAAACAGGGGCGACTGAACTACCCCATCATACGGGAGAAGGAAGCAACAAGAAAACCAGTCATGTTCCTACAATCGTAGGAGTCAGGAAAAAGACTGGGTCTTCGCCTCCTCATGGTCTTGCCTCCACCTCTATTGGTAAAACCACCCCCCCTGCTGATGGGTTCTTACCCGGATGCTTATAATCCAGCTTGGAGACTAACTGGTGAGGATCTTGTCTCTAACCATGACATCAATCTCGAGTGGTGTCAACACGCATTTCCTCCTACCACGACTGAGGCCCTAAGTGTCCTTTCCGATGAACATATGGTTGATGGATTGCATTACGTTGCCTCTCAAGTGTCATCTTATTTATTCACTACTGCCGAACGTATCTACGAGATGGATACCCTCCAATCCGATTCGGATAGGTAGGGCATTGAATGCGAAGAACTGAAGGCCTAAGTGGCGAAGTTAGAAGTTGATAAGAGCAACTTGGATGCTAGGCAGGAGGCAGTGTTACTTGAGAGGGAAAGCTTGGTGGATCAAGCATAAAAGATGGGGAAAGAGGTAGAGGGTCTGAACACTCGTGTGGGGTCCTGACGTTAGAGAACACCGGTTTGAGCTAGCGGACGGCGGAGCTGTAGGTTGATCTAGTGACTGAGAACTCTGCAAGGGGAGTGCTAGAAAGGGATATTTCCTGGAGCTTAGCGACAGACTCAGTCGGGTTGTGAAAGAATCTTGTGTCGCTTCTGGTGTGGAACAGGGTAAAAGGATTGTTTGGGTGCAGGTATCCCTCGGGGAGGTTGACCCAAAGTCTGAGGAGAATGTGGCAGCCAGGACTCAAGAGAAGGAAGAAGTCTTGGTGACCTTCATGGAGACAGACTTTTCTAGCCATCTTCGCTTGGGTGCCCTGGACATAGCTGGACTTCGTAATCTCTGTTAGGAGTCTCTGAGCGAGGAATTGGTCCCTGGTTCAAGCTTTCTTTATGGTGATGATAACACTACTGTTGATAAGTAGTTTTGTGTTTGGCTTGTTTTGAGGTAACCCCCTTTGACAATATTTTCCTTATTTGTTTGTTGTCTTTACTGCTCTTTATGGCCATCTTTTAAGTCCCGGAGTCTAGCAGTTTGAACAATGTTTGCTTTTATGGGTGTGAATGTTTCTCTTTATCGCATATACTCTTTCGCCTGGTTACTCTGTGTATGGTTTATGTTGGCCATCACATGATATTTACACAGGGTGTGTTTGCACCCCTAGTCCGAGTTCTCTTGGTAGTGAACTCTTTGTGCTTTACTGAAGTTGGTCTTTAAGAGAATTGTTCTAGTCTGCTGCTTAAAGACCTTCGGTGTAGTCAAGATCGTCATCTTGAGGCTCACCCAGTTTTGTTTACTTTTTTTTTATATTCGTGGAAGGTTATGACCCTTCTACACTCATGTCACATGTTCTTTAATTGATGAACATGTTTTGGGAGGAAGTTTATGAGCCTTTCTAATGTAAACTCCCTGACTGCCTTCTTGTAACGATTTCGCTAGTGTGGCATTTGATGATCACTCCTTGTTGTCACATGGTAAATGTACACAACCTCTTTGTTTCGTAGATTTGGATATAAGGAGCATATGAATTGTCCTTTCTATTTACTCTTGTTTTGTTTAGAGCATAATATGACTGAAAATAGTAAAGTAATTTATGTTGATTACATTTACATATTAAAATTAACACACAATGTGTTAGCTAGCACTGGTTCTACCTTTAACGCTTGTTTTAAGAGTAGAAGTGGCGCAGACTCTGCATTCCACGTTCTTGGAATGGCGTGCCTGTCTTGATCTTCTAGGACATAGGCACCATTCTTATGTGCTTCTACGATTTTGTATGGTCCTTCCCACGTGACACTAAGTTTCCCCAATGGTTCAACGTGGCTAGACTCGTTCTTTCTTAGTACCTATTCTACAACTTTGAAGTTCTTGACCCGAAATTAGCGGTTGTAATAGTTCTCAGTCTGTGATTTATACAATGCTTGATGCATCTATGTTGCCTTGCGTTTCTCATCGAGCATGTCAAGGTGTTGGCGTCACCCTTCATCATTGGCTGCCTCCTCGAAACTCACTATTCACAAGGAGTCAACGACTATTTCCAATGGGAGGACCACCTCCATCGCATAAGTTAGACTGAAAGGCGTTTCTCCCATGCATGACCATGTTATGGTGCGATAAGACTATAGCACTGTCGAGAGCTCATCCACCCAAGCGGACTTTGATCTGAGTAGTCGTTTCTTCAAACCATTGACTATGGTTTTGTTAGATGTCTCTGTCTTTCCATTAGCCTGAGGATGCGCTACTGATGTGAACCTACGGTGGATTTTCTTGTCTTCACACCATTCCTTGAACGGACCTCCTTCAAACTAAGTGTCATTATCATTTATGAGGATCCTAGGAGTTCCAAAGCGGGCCAAGATGTTCTTTGTCATGAAATTTATCATCTGCTTGCCAGTGACAGTGGCCAGTGGTTTCACCTCTATCCACTTGGTGAAATGGTCCATAGCTACCAGCAAAAAATTTACACCCCCGGTATCGGTGAAAATGGTCCCACTATATCGATGCCTTATTGGTTGAAAGGCTAATAGATAGTGATTCTTGTTAATAACATGGATGGTAGATTTTGGAAAGGGGTTAATGCTTGGCATTCCTTGCATTTCTTGGTTAAGGCTGCGGCGTCATTGTATACGTCTGGCCAGTATACTCCTAGGCGAAGTATCTTGCCTATGAGTGCGTGAGCGCCTTCATGTGTTGCTGTGTCCCCGGAATGACTTTCTTCGAGAAACGTTTTCCTCTCTATCTTAGAAATGCACCTGAGCCATGGGCTTAAATATCCTCTTCGATACAACTAATTGCCCCTTGTTGCAAAATGTGGTGCTCTGACTTTGACTTTCCTCGCCTCCTGTGGATCGTCCAGAAGCGTGTCACGGTGCAAATAATCAAAAAATGGTTTTGTCCATTCTGGGGGGAGGGGGGCTGATATGGTATTGACTTTTTGGTTATCAATACTCCTTTCTGGGAGTACTTCGACCAACACTTTCTTTGTGAGACGATAATACGAGGTAGAGGCCAACTTGTTGAGGGTGTCTGCCCTTGCATTTGTCCCCCTGGAGATTTCTTTATTGAAAAACTTTTGAACGTGTTGGCTAAATTACGGATCGCGTCTAGATATTTCTGCATCCTAGGGTCCTTTGCCTCATATACTCTGTTGTTTTGCGCCAACCTCCTTGGCCAGCTTTAGTCCTGCCAGGAGTGCCACATACTCTGCTTCATTGTTAGATACTTGGAAGTCAAACCGCAATGTGTAGGTGATCTATTCGCCTTTGGGGCTTTGGAGGATCAGGCCTGCACCTGAGCCTTCTTTTCTTGCTACTTCATCTGTATATAACTTCCAAAGTTCCTTGTCGGCTTGAGGATCTAATGAGACGACAGAGATTGTTGCCGACACTCCCTTAATGGTATCTAGGATTTCAACTAGAAAGTCAGCAAGTCCTTGGGCTTTGATGCTAGTTCTGGGGTGGTACTGGATGTCGTGTTCACCCAACTCTATGACCCACTTGGTTAGGCGTCCTGAATTTTTCGGCCTTAGCATCACTTGTTTTATCAGGTAACTAGTCAATACATCCACCTTGTGGGCTTGGAAATACCTCCGTAAAAGTCTCGGTGCGTAGACCAGGGCGAGGACCAGTTTTTCCAAGGTCAGGTAATTTACTTTCAGCCCTTGCAGGGCCCTACTAACAAAATGAATGGTGATTTGCTTGCCTTCCCTTTCTACTGCTAACACAAATGATATAGCCTCCTCAGATGCTGCTAAGTATATCTGTAGCATCTCCCCTGGAAATGGGCAGGCGTGAGTTAGGAGTTGCTGTAGTGTGTCTTTCAATTTTTGCAAGGCCACGTCCGCTACCTCTGTCCATTTGAATTGCTTTTTTTCTAAGCATCCTTTGAGTGTTTGGTACCCAGGAAGTTCCTTCTCTGCGGATTTGGCAATGAACCTTCCAAGATCCATTAACCTACTGTTGATCTCCTATACTCCCTTAAGGTTGTGGGGAGTTTTCTACTCGAGGAACTCTTGTATTTTGGTGGTATTCGGTAGGATCCTTTCCCTAGTCACCTGAGAGCCAAGGAATTGCCCTTCCTCAATTCCAAAAGTACACTTAGCCAGATTTAACTTCATCTACGTTTTGACCAGCGTTTTAAAGGTTTCTTTGTCTTGGAGTACCATCTCTTCATTGCGGCTTTTAATTACCATATCGTCGACGTAGACTTCAATATTCCATCCAATTTGGTCGGTGAATACCTTGTCCATCAGCCTCTGGTAGGTAGCATCCGCATTTTTGAGACCAAATGGCATTTTTTTGATAGCACAAAGTGCCCTTTTCGGTATGGAAGGCTACTTTGCTTCATCTTCTCGCTTCGTCTGCACCTGGTGATAGCCCTTATATGCATCGAGGAAACATTTGAATCGGAAGCCTTCAAGCGATTGGACTTTTTGATCTATCTCTGGGAGAGGATAACAATCCTTTGGGCATGCGTTCTTCAGATCTGTAATCTATGCACATCCGCCATGCCCCATTGGCTTTCTTTACCATGATCGGGTTTGCTATCCATGTTGGGAACATTCACTACTAGAAAAATAGCCTTTTACGACGCTCATTGCGCGTCGTAAAAGGCTCAGACGACGCGCAAATGCGCGTCAAGGAAGGCCATGTCATAAAGAGAGACGACACGCTTTTGCGCGTCGTCTATAGACAACGCGCATTTACGATGCTCATTTACGACGCACAATTACGACGCGCGTTTACGACACGCAATGCGTATCAAGGAAGGCCCTATCATAAAGGAAGAAGACATGCATTTGCGTGTCGTAACCTTACGACGCGCGTATTAATGACACGCAATGCGTATCAAGAAAGCCCCTGTCAAGAAAGGCCATGTCATAAATGAAGATGACACACATTTTTGCGTATCATAATTTTAAATGTTTAAAAAAATTATTATTTATAGATTTACTTATTGTCAAATTAAATTTGTATTTAATGTTTCATAATAGAAAATAAAATATCATATACAAAAAATAGAATCCATTGCATAAATATGGAAACAAATATATACCAAAATAATCAATTTGATCCAATAACATCATGCCAAACAAGTTATCAAAAATTAAAATACATTCATATTAATCTGATAGTACATTGTTATTAAGGGGGTTTCCCTAACTATATAACCTTATACTACCTCTCTCACTATATAACCCGATCCTTCATGTCATTGGTTTGCCACCTGGTGTACCACATAAAAATGTTGAACTTTGTGTCATGGGTGGCTGGCCACCGGGGGTGGCTGGAAAGTAATTACTTGCAGATAAGATAACAATGCTTTAATCCAAGATGAGTCAAGAATGCCTAAGAAAAAGAATCAACTAAACAAGCAAAATCTTGATTGGATTTATGTTAGAAGTTAAAGGTACAACCCTTTAGAAGGCAGCTGGTACCCCAAGTGTGAGGTGTGGAGGCCTGTGATCCATTGTCACCTAAAACAAAAAAAATCATGAGTTAGATACAACACACAGAACATCTGAGATGGAAATTCAAACTGATGGTAACCTAAACAAACATATAAATAAAGGTGATAATCTATAGAAGAAATTCAAACTGATGGTAACCTCAGCTACAGGAGTGAACCATCTGAGATGGAATCTAGGGTTCTTCAGCCGCAACTGACCGCAACCATTTATCATATTTTTTTATGCCCTCTAACCAACACACAACCGCCAGATTTCCTTTAAACACCGTATCAGTAAATGCATCCACCTGGTTTTTTTGTCAAAGAAAAAAAAAACAAACCAGATTAATAACCTTTCTATATTTCGGTTGCTAAGCATAGATGAACCACTTTGATGAGGAGGTGATCCGATTGACAGTAGATTCAGCAGCTAAACATCTGTGCCACTTTTTTGAGCCTGGTTTGCATTTGTAACTGAATTTGAAACAAACAAAAGTAAAAAGGCCATATGTTACTTATGACATATATATATATATATATACACACACACACACACACACAAGAATACGACTTCAATTTTCAACAAAAGAAACAAATTGATATGATTTGAATCTAAATCTAACCTGGTTGTGATGAAGATGGGGACATGCCAACATCAAGAAGACCTTGAAGAAAGTTGCCACCTGTCATCATGCTATTTGTATTTGGTGGAGGAGGTTCTTCTCCTCCTCCTAAATCAAGCAAGTCCACTAAAGGAGCAGAAGTTGTTTTAATAACTCCATTAGGAACACTTCTTCCCATTTAAGTTGAAGGAATAGAAGCAGAACCATTCCTCCTTCCACTGAAACTTGCTTCTTCAATAACTCGCATCCTTTCAACCAGTGCAGACCTTCATATACCATTACTAATTACTTCAATTCAATATTTTGTATTAAACTATCAAAATTACTATCCACGGTTCCATACCTTATATTATGATGCTTTTCAATTATAGAATCAAATTTTGTGGATCTTTGTTACAGTTCAAGCAGAAGGCTTCCTTTAGATTGAACAACCATATCCTTTAATCTCCTAAAATTGAACACCCATGACATGTTATCAGAAATTTCATATAAAACTAAACTTGAGTGCTTTTAACGAATATCAATCAAACAAGCAAAACTTACTGTGAGTTGTTGAATAAAATGATAATATGTGAAATTAACTGGTTATTAGCTTTACCTAAGTAAGTTGTTGAAGAAAATGATAAATTAGTAATAAAAAGTTTGAAAGAAAATGAAATAAGACATAGTTGGAGTCAGTATTAATTATCTCATTATTCATAGTCTAAAAGTCATAAGTAAAAATTGAAAGTAAAAAGTATAAAGAGTTGAAATATTTGCAATAATAATGTAAAGAATATAATATTCATTCAAATGACTATGAATTATAAACTGAAACAAAATTTGAAGTACATACTATGTACTCATTTTTGTGCAATTCATCCTTAAACTCAACAAATAATTGGAACTATTGATATATGATATATGTCATGTAGGCTAAAGTAACACCAAAGGTTGTGAAGGTCACTTTTAGGCTGAAGTAACATTAACAGAATATAGTATATGATAGATGATATATGTCGTGTAGGATGTCAATGAAATTAGCATACCTTCTATTTAACACATCATTCCCTATCTATGCAATTAGCCCAAATGGATATATTTCCTTTGGGTACACCTACAAAAATTAGAAACAAATTATAAGCAAGTTGATAGGAATCATGAAGTGTTGGGCCCAAGTACCATTTAAGCAAGAGTTTTATAGGTTTTGTTTAGAAGGATCAGTAAAGGGCAAAACAGGAAATTTACCTAGGTGGGCTAGGATTATAATAAATAAAGAGAAAGGTCACAGTAGAGGGATGTCTAGAAATTTGATAGTGTAATACGTTTGTATTGGCTCTTAAGCTTTCGGCTTAGAGAGAGGGAGATTCCTTGGGCAATCTTTTAGATTGTGTTATAGTTTAATCAATTAGTTCTATTTCATCATCTTCTTTATTCCAATCTTTCTCTATTTGATCCTATTTCATCAAACCCTAATTTCTGTTCTTCATCACAAGTCCAACTCCTGCATCATTTCAACTATAATTCTCTCACTACTGTTGCTTCATATATATATATATATATATATATATATAATAAAAATTTAGTACCTTCAAATCAATGAGATGCCTCAGCTCCCTACCAGGATATGTGCAAAGACCAAAGTATGTATCAACTCCAGAATCAGTGCCCTTAATTGAATTAAAATCATAAAGAAAAGCAACTAGTTATTTTGAAAGGAATTTGAATCCAAATGAATTGTTACCTGATCACTATGGATACTGAAGACCAAATCCTCTCTTAAAAAGTTCATATCCTTCAAATGATTTACATACTTTGGTAGAAACGCTACATGACTGAAAATAACGGTGATTGGGCGTCGTAAAAGGCCCTGAAACTGTTTTTCTAGTAGTGAAAGAAGTATCAAGTACATGTTATGTAGTTTGAATAAAGATTCTCTTCTTTCTTTACCAACTGAAACTGCATTTTGTTTTTTCTTTTGTGCAGTAGTGTTCCCAACTACAATGATGAAATAACATTTCAGTGTAAGTATCAAGTACATGTTATGTAGTTTGAAGAATAACATTTCAGTTTTCCAAACTACAACACAACTCTAATTAGAACAAATATAAAACCTTTGCATGGATGAACGTCTCCTTCACAGCTATGGAATTAGAAGGACTAGGTTTACATAAATAAAGAAGCTGGGGCTAAGAAGCTAAGCATGTCTGAAATCGCCACTTCTTCCAGCTTATCTTGCTGCTGCTTTTGCTAAGAAGCTAAGCAAGCTAGCACTTACAGTCCCTCCTTCTGGAGGTCTTGTTATTATTGCTCTTATTCATAATCTTTTGAGAAGACATCCTTCAATCAACTGTTTAGTCCATCAGGTAACAAATTTAATCATTATTTTGTATATCTTTTACTTGATTCATCATAATGCTTGGATTGGATGATAAAAATTGTATTATGATAGTTTTTATATGTACTAGAACTAGATTATAAGCTCCATCTTGAATGGTTTTATTTTTTTATTTTTGCAGGAGGATGATGGTGAAACTGAAACAGTCAAATCAGGCATTGATCATTTCAATAATGAGGAAACTGATCTTCTTAAAACCAATGCTATGAGTAAGTTTCTGCAACATACTTTCTTTGAATTGTGCAATGTGCATTATATTTATAGCATCCTTCTACTTCCATTTATTTTTGGCAAACTACAATGTTTTAAACAAACAAATGAAAATGAGTTTCTCATATATAAATAAATACATATATATATATATATATATATATATATATATATATATATACACATATATATATTGTAGGGAGTTCTCTATGGGAAATTGACACCCTGCGCCACCACTATTACCCTCCTGTGTCTAGGTATGTACGGATAATAACTAAATGAAGACAAATTTGTAAAAGTATTTCTACATTAAGCCAAAAAGAAATGCTACTATTTATTTATAGCTGAAGTCCATTTTTGTATTTTTGTAGATTTGTTTTGTCGCTAGAAAATGATTGGACAGTTAGATCCAAGACAACTGAAGTTGCTATAAAGGATTTTAGTTCGGGTTCATATGCATGCAGATGTCATTTGCTTCAGTATTCACTCACCTGTTCTCCAGATTATATATGATATAATTTTCTTGATCAAACTCAAGCCCTCGAAATTATTAATGCAAAGACCTTGAAACGCCCTGTTGAAGTAATCAAATAATCTTCAGAATTTTTATTAAAAAAAACAACAGTAACAATTTTATTTTATAATAAAGACATATGTATATAATAAGAGAAGAATGTAGTCAAACCACATCTTATAAGAGAAACACGAGGAATCCGTCGAAAAATGATAGGGGTATTATCGACATTCACGTAATAACCACCAAATACAATGAACACTATCATGAGAGACGGGCCCAGAGCCAAAATATTTCATTATATATTTTTGCAGGAGAAATAGAAATTGGAAGTATTACATTTTCTATGTCTGTAAGTAAGCATACTTAACTTGTTTTGTATAAATTATAATAATGTATAGAGTCTGTGACATCTAAGTCACAACTAGAGCAACAGAAGAGGGATGAAGTTTTTCTGAAAGACGGAATACCAACATTGTTTGCAGGGTGATGTGTTCATACCTTTCTAAAGTTTATTTAACAAAATGAAGAATCCAGTCACCAGTGACACCTGTACAACAGCATAACAATATTAAAATATATTTTAATATACATAGCTAATATAATGATAATATTTACTTACTGAGAAAAAAAATCCTTATTAGTGATGCACAATAGATAGCTACAAGAAGAGAAAACCCTAAAAGCATTTCTATGTATGAATAAGTTGATAAAATAGGTATTGATATAACCAGAAGCAAAGAAAAACAAAGGTTAACTTTAAATAATTATGTACAGAAAAAAAAAGTTTTTGCAAATGGAGATATGTCAAAGGGTTTGTCAATACTCCCCAAACACTTTATATAAACACTGGTTCAGACAAGTATATGACTATCATCCACCAATGCCATGATCAACAACAAATTATAGTCAATTTTCTAAACACATGTTCATCAACTGGGGTTTCTTATCTGGGAGGGAATATTCAATATACTCTGTGTCAAAATAAAATGGCACTGGAAATTTTATTCTCACATGACAACATAGCCAACAATTAGATGATTAATTGTTGAAAGGTCAACCAAACGCCTTTATCTACTTAACCTTTTTACAATGCTGCCAATTTATATCCCCATTTTGTTTAGGGAGTATGAGAAAGGTATGTAACAATCAATCCTAGCAAGAAGTCTTTTGGTCTTGTTTACATGAATAAAAGCAGAGGAGGCAATCACATATGTTTAAGGAAATAAGGGTCCAGAACAAATAATACAAAGAATAAAAAAAGATGTGTAAAAGTACAACTTGGAATTGCAGATATAAAAAACTGGTAAACTGCACTAGCACTATCTGAGTGGCCTACTTCAACCCTGGTAATTCCAGATATATAAGCTGAATATGTTAATGATGAAAATAGAATCATACCTGGGTTTTCCCCATTTGAATGGAAGAGAAACATTGGCATCTTTCTACCGAATATGGTCATGCTTGCAAGGTGCAGTGTATTATTGGTTTTCTCTTGTAAAAATTGTATAGAATTGAGTCCGACCATAACCTTAGCTATTGTAGGATGTTGCTTTGGATGGCTATTTAAACACCGTTCTGCAATCCATAAACATATAATTCAAAGATCAACAAACTGGGGTAGGAGGTCAAACAAAATCTATATGCGCGTGGAATAGCAGGTCCAACAATATCTATATGCAATAAGCTAAATCATGTTTTAAAAGTGATGAAAATACCTCAGTAGTGTATGCATAGTTCATCAGTAGTTTCAGGGATCAATTGTTTCACAGAAGCAATGAAGTCGGAGGTTCGCCATTGAAATTGATTTAAGCAACAAGAACTAGGGTTTTGGGTCGATTTGATTTTGAGAGAAATCGGATAAAAAAACAAAATAAACGTCGACATGTACAACCCATTTTGAGGCGTTGAAAGTAGGAGAAGGTAGGGTTTCATCAATTTCAACTGTGGTGGGTGATGGAATAGATGGTGACAACGGTGATGCAGCACTCGTGGACAAAAATGGCGGAGAGTGAGAGATGGAATGAAGTCTGAACCCTAAATCTCCCAAAGAAGGGTTTTCTAATTTCTAGGATTTCCTAGTTATGGTAGACGGGAGGTGGAGTGGGAGTCACCGCTGGAGCAGGTGGTTGTAGATCACGCCTATGTCTTCTTCGCCTTCCTCTTTATCTCTTGTAAGAAAGAAACTCCACCTAATATAACCATCTGAACTCGGCCTGTATAAGTCTAGTGACATAGTGAATTCAATTAATTTTAAAACACACTAGATTTACAAACGATTTCCTAAATTTTCAAGTCTCAACAGGAAAAAATTGTAAAGGAATTATAAGCATGAACGTTTTCCTAAATGTGAGCCTACATCCCTACAGATTGAAGAAAAACCTCAAAGTTCAGCAAGAAACACAGATCACGTCAATCAATTCTCTGGTGGTTTGAAGATGGGGGAGAGAGAAAGAAAGGGAGAAAGAGAGAGAGAGAGAGAGAGAGAGAGAGAGAGAGAAAGACCTGAAATGTAAACTAAAGAGGTGTAAGAGTGAATATGGGTTGACATGGTGGTAACCCTCTAGAGTGCATCTGGTCGTTCCTCTTCATATGGAAGACGAGGCTTCTTGAAAGTTTTCCATATGAAAGTGGTGGTGATGGAAGAGATGGCAGGGCGGCAGTGGATGATAGGAATGGTGGTGACAGTTGATTGTGTAGAGGTGCCTGTGAGATGAGGTGGAATGAGATTTTATGAAAAATCCCTAGATTTGGACGTATTTTGTAACTGAGGATAGTGGATGTGCGTTTGGTAAAATAATTATAAAACGATGCCTCTGCAATCGAGAAGGCGGAGGATATAGATTAAAGAAAACCTGGTGGAAAGGAGAAACGAGAAGGTAGAGGGGTTGTTTATCTGGTAGCTTCGATTGATGGCTGATGGGTCGTGGTTGTCGATCGATGCTACAATCGACATTCACAGAGGGGTAGAGATGAGGGAGAAGAAAGCGGGGGTTGAAAAAATTTGGGGATTTCATTTTCCCTCTAAGGAGCGCGTTTCTTAAAAAAAAATATAAAACGACATTCACAGACAAAGGACGCACAAGTGCCCTCCGTGTTTTTAATTTTTTCAGATGAGACACTAATTTAAGGGCACTCAATAATGCGTGACCTACATTCTTAAATTTTTTTGAAGAGATGACGCTTTTTTAATGTCACTCTCTTTTGCGTAACATAAACCAGCGAGTGTCGTAGTTTGCGCGTCGTAAAAGGGTCTTTTTCTTGTAGTGATTACTTCCCTGAGTATGCTAACAATCACCAGATCGTCCACTTCTGCGTTAATAGCCCTATTGCAGTTTGTTGCCTGTCCTCACTTCTTTTTCCTTACAGGGTTACTACCAGGTGCGATGTTGAGGCTGTGTTCTATGCCCTGTCAATCGACGCCTGTCAGATCCTTTGGCTTCCAGGCGAAGACGATGGAGTATTGCCTCAGGAGCGCCACCAGTTGTGCCTTGGTTTCATCTGTTAAGTGGGCGCCGATTTTCACGAGTTACTTTGGATACTCCATGTTTATCTGGTTTTGCTCAGTGGAACACCCCCTTGGACTTCTTTGGCGTGCGCACGAGTTCTGGGGCGGCTATGATTTGGTGGCAATGCTGTGCTCTAGTGTTTGTGGCGAGGACTGCCGACAATCCCTGGTGTGTGCTGAATTTAATGATGCCATGTATCATCGATGGTACGAGATATAGTAAAGCGATTGCTGATTATGTAAGAAGAATGTTGTTTTCTCCTGGGTATCGGATCACAGAGAATTCGACTGTCCTTGTGATTCGGTCCCATTCGTCGTGGATAACCAACTTTAAGGGCAACTGAATAGTTCCTAGTGGATACAAGCTATGCCCAGTGAATCCTACTAATGGTCCACCGGTTGAGGGTTGGAGCCCGTCCTTCCATGTATCAGGTAGCTTCCGGAAACAATGCTCATAGAGTATATAAAAGCAACTACCATTGTCAATGTATATTCAGTGGACCTTCTTGTTATGAATGAATCCTGATATGAGGAGTGGGTTTCGTGGATCCCAGTTTGATGGTATGGGATTGCTGCTCGAGAAATTGATGTTGAGTAGGTTTCTTAAGAGTACCTTGATCTCGTTTTCTGAGGGTGAGGTGCATTTCTCTTACGGGACTTGGGGATAGTGAATACCTCAGTGCCATCACATGGATTCATCTGCAACAGATTGGGATGTGATATCGCCATTTGACGTAATGAGATACCCGATGAAAATTGTCGGAAACTGCTCTGGAGCCTTGGTTCTGTTGTTCTTATCGTAACTGGCGGGATCTTTGTCATCAGAGTGGTTCGTGCGTTCTGAACAGAGCTTTGATTTCAATCCTAGATAGTGTTGGGCTTAGATCCCCTTTATGCAGGGAACCAACATCGTCTATTGGCTGTATCACTCTGAGGATACATCCGGATGGCGCCAAATGTTGTGACATGTTTGCAGATGGTTTAGATGCTGAAGGATGGATCTGACTTGGGTGCTTTCCTGAGAACACAATCACAAAAGAATAGTTAAAGGACGACCGTGTGTTCTCCCGGGAAGTCGCTCCGACGAACATGTTAGTTTTTAGAGAGAGAGAGAAATTTTAGGGTAATCTTCATAAGAGAGAAGATGGATCCCTTACTTGAAATGTAAGTGATGCTTTTACACCTGTTACTAACAGACCGTGGGGACCATGCCTCGTGAGTGTGAAACATGGCCTCCTTTTACTGGGAGAGCTATTCACGCTAACTAACTGCCAGGCAACGTCAGTTCTGGGCGTCCCCCAGGCTATTTGTTGCTTTCTCATTGGTTGTGATTGAATGATGGGATCACATGATTCGTGGCAGTGGTTCCGTACCTGTTGATTTTTTGGTTTGTTGGATTTAGTGTCTAAGCCCATAACTATAATTGGTATGTACTTGACCTGAGAGTAGCATGATCCATTTGGGTTGCATGGCACCAAAATTTTTTGTAAGGATGAACTTTTGAGAAGAGGATATTCATGATTTATTAATATATTATATGTTATAATATATTAATATGAAATCATATTATTTAATTAGTATTGATCAAGAATTAATTTGGAATTAATTTTGTGATCTAAAGAGACTAATTAAATATAAGGGGTTGATTTGGTAAATCATTCATTCTTATGGTGTGGGCTAATGATCAATGATTCCTTATGTTGGGCTAAACCCATGTGACAACCCATGGATGATCCATGGAGGTTTAAATCCATGGAGCATAAGGAATATGGAAGGCCATGCACATTAGGGTTTACATGCTGTAACCCTAGTTTTGCCACACTATATAAGAGACCCCATGGCTCCTAAAATCGGCACCCTAGTGTTCTTGGAAGATCTATAGCCGATTTTTGAGTAAAAGTATTCTCTCTCAAGTCCTCCATTGTTGGTGGTGTTGTGTGAAACATTTGAGGCATCACATTTGGGGTGCTAGGCTCCTAAAG